GGCCCCACCTCCGCCACCCCTGCACGGGCTTTGCCTAGCAGTGGCCATCGGCGGCGGAGAGGAAGGAGGAGTAGGTGGGAGAGTGGTGGTTGACGGCGGAGATCTGATTGTCGCCTGTGTCGTCAAGGCTAGGCGACGTGGGGGCCGAAGTCGCTTTTTCTATCCGCTCTCGGCGGAGATCTGGTCCACACATATGCTTGTAAACTCTGCAATAAGTACTTAAGGATTATGTGCATCGATTGATGCAGAAGCCATGGATTTTCACTCTTTTTTGGGGGAAAAGAAAAAGCCCTAAGCGTAGCCCTCGACTTAAAAGTTGTCTAAAATTATTGCTCCAAACAAGGGCTTGTTGTGCATATCCTTTCAAACGGGAGCTATTGAGAAGAAATTTTGGAAAAGGGGATTTCTGAGAAGAATCTGCAACCAACAAAACTTGCAACAACCCTATAGTCTAATCAGTCCAGAGTTCAGACACAATCAGACAAAGCAAGGCGTTAAGAATGATAGCACGTTGTCCTTTCACGTGGAAAGAGTCAAGAATTCGATCCATTTTCTCCATGGAAACGAAGAGCGAATCTTTCACAGAAAGTCCTATAAATAGGCCAAGCCCACTCCAACATGCAAACCAAAACAACCTACAATAATAATCACCCCCTGTAGCAATTGGCCTTCTAGGGATTTGCATTTGCCTCCGTTCACACCTCCTGATCAGACGTCAAAACTCTAGACCAGACGATCCCAACCTGCCCAATCATGTAGGCTGACAGGTGTTACAGTCCCTGCGTCCAAAATCTTGTACTACCAGTACGTGTCAGTAGGGCACGAGGTCACCTCGGCATGGAGCAGGAGCTGCGGAGCGGCGGGGCGGTCAGGGCGCAGAGCACGCTGTGCTTCTCCGGCGCGCTGGTGGACGGGCCCCGGATCCAGCAGCTGCTCCTCCACTGCGCCGCCGCGCTCGAGTCCAACGACGTCACGCTGGCGCAGCAGGCCATGTGGGTGCTCAACAACATCGCCTCCGCGCAGGGGGACCCCAACCAGCGCCTCACCTCGTCGCTCCTCCGCGGCCTCGTCGCGCGCGCCTGCCGGACCTGCGGCTCCCCGCGCGCCGACAGCATGGGGCCGCCCCCGGCGCTGGGATCGCAGCGGGCCATGTCCGTCACGGAGCTCGCCGACTACGTCGACCTCACCCCGTGGCACCGGTTCGGCTTCACCGCCTCCAACGGCGCCATCCTCCGCGCCGTCGCCGGGAGGGACGCCGTGCACGTTGTGGACCTTGGAGTCACGCGCTGCATGCAGTGGCCCACGCTCATCGACGCGCTCTCTAAAAGGCCCGGGGGCCCGCCGGCGCTCCGCATCACCGTGCCGCCCGTCCGGCCCGCCGGCCCGCCGCTGCTCGGCGTGCCGGACGAGGAGATAGGTCTCAGGCTGGCCAACTTTGCCAAGTCCAAAGGCGTGCGCCTGGAGTTCAACGTCGTCAACAAGAGCACGGCCACGTCATCTCCATCTCCGACGAAGCTGCAGACGCTTTGCCAGGAGCTCGCCTGCGTCCTCTCCGACCCGCCGGCGCTGCGGCTAAGAGACGGCGAGGCGCTCGTGGTGAACTGCCAGAGCTGGCTCCGGCACGTGGCGCCGGGCTCGAGGGACGGCTTCGTGGACGCGGTCCGGGCGCTGGACCCGTGCCTGGTCACCGTGACCGACGAGGACGCCGACCTGGACTCGCCGAGCCTGGCCACGCGCATCGCGGGCTGCTTCAACTTCCACTGGATCCTCTTCGACGCGCTCGACACGTCGGCGCCCAGTGACAGCCCGCGGCGGCTGGAGCACGAGGCGGCCGTGGGCCAGAAGATCGAGAGCGTCGTCGGCGCCGACGGCACCGAGCGGTCCGAGTCCGGCGCGCGGCTCGCGGAGAGGATGCGGCGCAAAGGGTTCGCCGGCGTGGGGTTCGGCGAGGACGAGGTGGCCGAGGTGCGGCACCTGCTGAGCGAGCACGCGACGGGGTGGGGCGTGAAGCGGGAGGAGGACATGCTGGTGCTCACGTGGAAGGGGCATGCAGCCGTGTTCACCACTGCCTGGGCGCCCAACTAAAGCTGGTAGCTTAATCCGATACTACCATTAGCGACTGAAACTACTGATAGGAATGCATGTGGCCATGAGAGAGTAGTTTTAGGTTGATAATGTAGCTCAGAAAGGATCAAAATGACATGACACATAAACCGTCTTCTTTATTGTTCATCAATGGAAAACGGTGGAAGAATGAATAATATTCAATAGAAGAAATGGAGCCTTCTTGCATCATGAATTTGTTCGAGTTTCTTGGAACACATGCTCATACATATGGCTGAAATTACTCCAAGTACCCCCTCCGTTTCTAAATATAAGATGTTTTTTCTTTTCTCTATTTTCTTAGGTTCGTATTCATCTTGGACGCGTTTTACTGAGTTTTTTTTACTTATTTTAATTCATATGTAGTCCATATTGCAATAAAGCAGTACAAACGCATGGATGTTTCTAGATCCATATCTTAAACAATATCTTTACTCCGAATCAACATGTGGTTGGATGGTTAGAGAGACTGTGGTATCCCCAGCCCACCAGGGTTCAAGTTCTGATGCTCGCATTTATTCTTGGATTTATTTCAGGATTTTCTGTGATGCGCATTTAGTGGGAGGAGACGATCATAGGGGTAGGGTGTACGTGTTAGAGATGAGTTTATTCACGTGTATGTGAGCGCTTGTGTCTGTACTGTGTTAAAAAACCATATCTTTACTCAAAGTTGGAGTTAGATATAGATATACGGCAATGTAGACAATAGTGGTGATGAATATTAATTGAACGGCCCCACATGGATATTTAGCTAGATATAGTGTGTTAAATTAGAAAGCAAAAACAAATATTCATCATAAGAACAATCAATAATGCAATAATTCCAAATGCAATAAAACTGTAAGTATATGATTTCCATCTTATGTGCACTCACTTATCGAGTGACTATACCACATACAATTGTTTTTTTTTCCAGCCACTTTGCTCTCCACCATGTGATCTCCTTCCGCCTCCAGCCACTCCTTCCTCCTCCTCCAAACCTTCTCTCTCCATCGCCTGTGACACTGCATCCTTCGAGGTCCTAGCGAGCTCTCATCAATGATGTCATGGGTAGTCGCAGTGTTCTCAGCTCGAGGTCGGGCGCCACCCGCCACCTAATCTTA